CCCAGTCCAAAGAAAACCATTAGAAAAAAACACACTACCCGTCATGGAAAAACCTCAGCGCTCAAGGTCCCCTTGCTCAAGCCAGCGCATGTCCAGGCCCGTCTGAAGTTTGCCAATGACCATCTGGATGATCCAGAGGAGGAATGGGAGAAGAAAAGCTGGGACCACAGTCTCAAAGAAAACCATTAGTAACACACTACGCCGTCATGGATTAAAATCCTGCAGCGCACGCAAGGTCCCCCTGCTCAAGCCAGCGCATGTCCAGGCCCGTCTGAAGTTTGCCAATGACCATCTGGATGATCCAGAGGAGGAATGGGAGAAGGTCATGTGGTCTGATGAGACAAAAATAGAGCTTTTTAGTCTAAACTCTACTACCCCGTGTTTGGAGGAAGAAGAAGGATGAGTACAACCCCCAAGAACACCATCCCAACTGTGAAGCATGGAGGTGGAGATGCTTTTCTGCAAAGGGGACAGGACGACTGCACCGTATTGAGGGGAGGATGGATGGGGCCATGTACGTGAGATCTTGGCCAACAACCTCCTTCCCTCAGTAAGAGCATTGAAGATGGGTCGTGGCTGGGTTTTCCAGCATAAATAAATAAATATAAATATGCCATTTAGCAGACACTTTTATCCAAAGCGCATACATTTTTACATATGGGTGGTCCTGGGGATCGAACCCACTACCCTGGCGTTACAAGTGCCATGCTCTACCAATTGAGCTACAGAGGACCACAGCATGACAACGACCCGAAACACACAGCCAGGGCAACTAAGGAGTGGCTCTGTAAGAAGCATCTCAAGGTCCTGGAGTGGCCTAGCCAGTCTCCAGACCTGAACCCAATAGAAAATCTTTGGAGGGAGCTGAAAGTCTGTATTGCCCAGCGACAGCTCCGAAACCTGAAGGATCTGGAGAAGGTCTGTATGGAGGAGTGGGCCAAAATCCCTGCTGCAGTGTGTGCAAACCTGGTCAAGACCTACAGGAAACGTATGATCTCTGTAATTGCAAACAAAGGTTTCTGTACCAAATATTAAGTTCTGCTTTTCTGATGTATCAAATACTTATGTCATGCAATAAAATGCAAATGAATTACTTAAAAATCATACAATGTGATTTTCTGGATTTTTTGTTTTAGATTCCGTCTCTCACAGTTGAAGTGTACCTATGATAAAAAGTACAGACCTCTACATGCTTTGTAAGTAGGAAAACCTGCAAAATCGGCAGTGTATCAAATACTTGTTCTCCCCACTGTATCTATTCTCTTTGTTGTTGTTTTTTCTGGTGTATTTCCTATGTGTAATTTGTTGTGTAGTTGTAAGATGCAGGGCTCCCTTGAAAAAGAGACCATGGTCTCAATGGGACTCCCTGTTAAAATAATGGTCAAATAAATACATTAAATAAACACACACATACACACAGCCATATATACAGACAGAATCAACTGTGTTATTCACAGGCATTAACATAACCTCTCTCCCCTCCTCTTCCTCCTCCTCTTTCTCCTCCTCTATTCCAGGCCTGCGAGTACTACAACTCCCAACTACACGTGGTCCATTACAAATACGAGGAGTACTCAGGAGATTACCGGCTACTTCCCAGGTACAGAACAGTCTATGAAAGAATTGCAAAATTCCGGCAACTTTCCCAAAATTCCCAGGTTTTCCAGACATTTTGTGAAAGTTACCAGAATTTTGCATCCCTTGTCTATGATGACACTTATGTATTCAGTACATTTCCATGGGTGTGTGTACATATTTTCATTGTTCCACATCAGAAAAGTACAGTACTTTGCTACTTTATGTACTTCTAAGTGTCATGACGTTATTGAGTTGGACAGGGCCCACTCCAGGGTTGAACTGTTTTGACATAGCGTCTTTGTCAGGAACGCATGCCAGACTTTCCAAATGCGTACTTCAAATAAACACTAGGAAAGACGTAGCTGAGAACCTCAGCTAGACCAAAAGATCCAGGGTCTGTGTCCCTAATGGAACCCTATTCCCTATTTAGTGCACTACTTTTGACCAGAGTTCACTAAATAGGAAATAGGGTGCCATTTGAGATGCACTAGTCTGCGGTTACATAACGGGCCTCTCGAAAAATAGCTCTCTGTGATGTCAACAATTGGAACAAAAAACTAAATGGTGGACGTCGGTTGGCTGTGTTGTTGAGTGGCAGGCTGTCCAGCTGCAGGGATGTCAGGGCTGTGAATCGGTCACTCAACCCCAGGGAGACCAGCCATCAAAGCAGGGACTCTTTGACCTCTGACCCCTATCCAGACCACTGGAATGTTCTCCTGGTCTCCCATGGGTTGGTTATGTTAAAGTCCTCTAGTTCAGTTCACATGACCTTTCTGAGTTTGTTGAATTTAAAATATTTTTAAGTTCAACATCATATACTGTACATCCACTCTAAAACTGATCCATAGTCTACTTTTGATACTGTGTAGTTAACATCAATAGATGTCAAGAGACTGAATGTACATGCTCCTATAGAGGTCAGATCCACATGATTTGAGTTTTCTCTCTGAATCAGTTCCTCTGTCTTTCCCTGGACACGGAGTTAGCAGCAGATCTAGGATCAGTTTGGGAGCTACCGCTAGCCTTTGTGAGATACCCTGGACACACAGTTAGCAGCAGATCTAGGATCAGTTTGGGCTCCTCATACTATATGTCTGTGATCCAGTTGACAGACTGACAGCCCAGTTCACTCTGAGCTAGTCATCTTCACAAGTTGTGTCTCTCCAGAAATCACATAGAAGAGCCTCGAAGTCTGGCATGATGCAAGGCTATTCTAACTGTTGGGTCCAAACACAGGGGTGTCCCTGAAGATTAAAAAAAAAATGTTTTGCCTGTGGAGACACTAGAAAGAGGCCATTAATTATTTTTGCTGAGACTAGTTCCAATGCTGGGTCTGCTATCCTTATAAAAGAGGGAAGCCTTTGTGTCTCCAGCTCAGAGCACACACACAAACACAGGGTGGCTCATGAACGCACTGGAGCGAGGGCAACCTTTTGTCTGGTCCTTTTCGGGAGGAGATGGAGAGGACTCGGCCACACATAAGTCAGGCTCAGCTCAGACACCCAGCCATAGAGATGGAAAAGAGAGAACACCTATCTTTGCTATGATGATCCCTCCAAGGGGCAATCTGCTGTTTACCAAAACAGTGGCAGGGTTTGTTTAAACTGAATATTGCTCCTTTAACCCATTTAAAATGGAGAAAGCCCGCAATAGTGCTGCCCATGCTATAACAAGCTTTGTAGGAAGTCTGCCCTCTATCCGACTCCATGCACCCAGCACCTCTACAGTAAAGCTTACCATATGCTTCCCATTCGAAAACAGTTTGCGCATATATTAGAATATATTTTTGACGTTTGTGCATTTTGGTGTTCGGCAGCATTTGGCAGGGTTTTTTTCCCCGGCTGTTCGAGCACACAACAACTTGTCGAAGTTCGGTAGCCAAAGTTTACACCCCGTCATCGGTGATTGGTCAAAAGTAGGGATTTTTCAATTAAGTGTTTGTTTCACTTGAGAAATACTGCACCAAACATCTTAGTTACATCTGCGTGACTAAGACTTCCTCGGCAAAACCGTCAAAATTATTTACAGTTTTCTTGATTTATCTTAGATTAATTCTGACTGTTTTGAGGAAGTGTACTTGTTGCTATGACATCTCAAGAGGGACAAACAGTAATATTGCCGCTTTTTCTAGTTTTTCAAGTAAAGGTATTTTAAGAGAGTATGCAAGCACAGACGTTCACTTCGCCTAACCGAGGTGACCTGGCCAGAAAAAACTCTGGGCTCCAGTTAGCCAATGCCTGTGTAGTTAAACAGGACCTACTACTACAAGATACTGCTGGACTGTTATGTTGCTTTCACAACACAGGCATCAACAGTAGAGGTGAGCTTGAATGTCATTACTGAAGTCTAGTACATCTACGATATGATAGTCCCCTGTAGCTCAGTTGGTAGAGCATGGCGCTTGCAAC